ATCAGAGGCCTAGACGGGGCCTAGAACCCCCTCCCCACTGGGCCTCCAGCAAAGAGGAGGTGAGACCCTTCACAGGCACTCAGACAGCCACATAGTGAGGGTGGTGACCACCAGGGGAAGGCCCCTCGAAGGAGGCGGTGCGCCCCTCACCCTCCTCAGTCCCTGGGGACCCGACCTCGGCTGTAGGCTCAGGGCCTCGGACAGGCCAGAGGTGAGCGGCCCACAGACAGCAGACTGATGCTCGGGCTTCTGTGCTGTGTTGATAGAACTGAAGTGGAGTTTTAGGTAATTCCTCCCCGTGGCGGGCCGTTCAAGCGGTGCAGAAGGTAAGAACCCCAACCCGCGCCTCCTGGTGTCTTTCCCCAGAGGCCACCCGTCACAGTAGATGGGCGTCCTTCTAGAATCAGTGCAGGGACAGACCCTGCTCGTTCCTGGAAGGGGTTGCCACGCGCATGGCCTCCCCGCAGGCAGGTGTGGAGGAGGGTCCCGGGAGCCAGTCCCTGGGCGTCACCGCTGTCCTCAGGGCCCCTCCTTGTTTCCCACGCTCTGACTCAGGGTGGGATTCAGGGTCAATTTCTCAGCACGCCGGATGCAGTGATCACAGAGGTCCCAGCTCCCAGACTGCTTTGGGAGGGAGCCCCTGCAGGGGAATGCTGAGCGCGGCCGGCCACGCGGTCCACGTGCAGGGATGCAGCTGTGACTCCCACCGCTGGCAGGACGCTCACGACGGCCTTGTTTTCCAGGCTGCAAGCGGCAGCCTCTCGGAGCCAGGAAGCCAGAGGGCTGGGGGAGGCCCGGCCCCTCCTCCGTGAAGGCAGCCCAGCGCAGCGGGGGCAGATGTTTGGGGTGGCTTGCACCTGTGGGGAGCGCCCCAGATGGGGCACTTCCGCTGTCATGAGGAGGCCTCTCGTCCTGCTCGGCTTTCTGATCAGCGGGGCCGACAGAGGTTGGGTTGGAAGTTGCCCGTGAGACGGGTGTGGGGGCTGCCCGGCCCGTGGTGGCCTCCTTGGGGGTGATGGCTGCTGCCTGCCCCCCCCAGACCGGGCAGTTGGTGTAGGGGAGGAAGCAGACGTTGGCTGTGGCTTTCGGAGCCGGGCGGCCCCAAGATAAGGGGCTGAGGAGGAAGTGGCTGCAGCGAGGGGGGGGTGGGAGGGTGGTGGGAGGGGGGCGCCCCCACCCCTCCCGGCCTCAGTGCTGCTCCCTCCAGTGACTGCTGTGTCCAGCACACACCACGGGGGCGGGTCTTCCCTCCCCCACCCCTCCTTCCCTCCTTCCTACGAGCACAGCACGTTGAGGGCCTTCACGGGGGAACAAGGACAGCCCGCTCCTGCTCTGGGAACCCATGGGAGACAGACATTCAACCAAGAGGCCCCAGTGGACGTGGCCTGTGGGGCGGTCAGGGAGGTGGTGTGAGACCGTGTCGGGGCTGGGTGCAGAGCGGCCCCTGGGGAGGTGAAGGGGTGCGCTCCAGGCAGAAGCGCCTTGAGGTGGTCACACCTCCAGGCTTTTGATTCTGAGGATGGCCAGAGAGCTGGAGGGAGGCCAGCAAAGGACAGTGGGGAGGTGGCACTGGGTGGAGGTGGGCAGGGAAGCCCATCAGGTTGGGTGTCTGATTTCTGTCTCCTCTCCTATCATGTAGGGGCCCCAGGACTGCTGGGTGAACGGATGGACGGGAGGGTGGGTGGATGGTGGATGGATGGGTAGGTGAGTGAGTGGATAAGAGGTTGGAGGGATGTGTGGAGGAATGGGTGGGTGAGTGGGTGGATGGGTGAGTGGATGGATGGCTGGGTGGATGGATGGGTAGACGGATGGGTGAAGGATGGATGGGAGGGGGGTGGAAGGGAGGGAAGGTGGGTGGACGGGTGATGGACGGCTAGATTAGTGGAAACAAGATCCTATGCAAATCTCATGCCAGCCTGCTGTAGAGAGGAGGGACCAGGGCTCACAGGGTGACATCCCCAGGCACAAAGCTCCCCAGAGAGGGACATAAGTTGCAAGGAAGCCCCAGAGGAAGCCGGGTGGGGAGATGTGGGCTACCTGTGAGCTCAGACAAACCGGCGCCCCCTCACCCAGCGCCAGGTAGGTGGCTGACCTCTGCCTCTGGGTCAAGAATGAAGTGTGGCCAGGTGGTGTGGTTGACAAGGGTGGGCTCGCTCAGGGCAGACAGGCGAGGAGGCCCAGGCTGGACACCTGCCCGCAATCCCCAGTCAGGGTGCAGCTGAGCGAACCCAGGGCCACAGGGAAGGTGCCATGAGCATGCTAGGCTGACATGTCGAAACTCCGCACAAGCGAGGCAGGGCTCCGTGGGTCCCAGAGCAGGGGGCACGCTTCCTGGCAGGAGGAGGGAAGCTCTGCTTTGGGGTCCAGAGGCTGGAGCCCATCCCGGGAACACCCTAGGAGAACGCTGAACCGGCCTCACGTGATCTCAACACCCCGGTGCTGTGGAAACCTCGAGCATCTGGTGAAACCCATGAGCCTCTTGGCAGAACACAAATGTGCTCAGGGAATCACAAAGCAACCCGCTGTGTCCAGAAACAGCAGCCAACGGGCTGAGACCAGCCTGCTGTTCTTGCTACCTGTGCTTCTGTCCAGCCGTGCTTTCGTCGTGATGAGTGTGAGCTGCATTCTCAGGCGTCACAGCAACTGAAATACGGAGCAAACACCAGAATGGACCCTGTGGGATTCCCAGTGTCCAGAGCTGTTGGCCTGCATGTGTGGCCAGTGAAGACGACCCTGCTGGCCCGAGGTCATGGACGTGGCTGACACGTGATGCTCACGGTAAGAGGAGATGCGAAATTTGGTTGGAGGTGGTACAGGTAGGTGTGCCCTTTTCCTCATGCAGGTTCACAGACCCCCTGCACAAGGAGCCACTGATCTAGCTCATCCTGAAGACCCCTCCCATCCGCTGCCTGGTCCGGGGCCCCCACTGTGCTGGGGGTTCCAGGGTCACATCGCCATGTTCTCTGTCTTTGCTGGGTGCTCTTGGGCGAGTGTCTTAACCTCTCTGGGACTCAGTTTCCTCAACTGGAAAATAGCCCTGAGAGGACTACCTTTGGAGACCCGGCATGCTAAGGGATGCTCCAGGCCCGGCTGCCCCGGGCAGGCGTCGGGAGACAGAGGCATGGTGCAGAGTGTCCCCTGGGGTCCAGGACCGGGATGGCCTGTGCCCGGAGGGGCTTCCCAGGCCAGAGGTGGGTGCAGAATGGGGGAGCCGTGCCCACTTCTCTCACTCTGACCACCACTCACTCCATGAGCAGGATGGCTTCGGGGCTGAGCCTGGTCAGAGCAGACTCTGAGGACGGAAGTAAGACTGCTGACAGTGAGGGCGATGGCAGCCAAGTCCCCTGCGCTCGGCTGACATGTCTCGTCAGTCTGCTCAGTACCTGAAGCTAAGACCCCGTCCCTGTCCCTGTCGCTGTCACCGTCACCAAGAGGGTGAGCTGCCCGCCCACATCCCCAGCTGGTGCACGGGGCTGGGGCTGGGGGCTGGGCAGAGTGCACATCAGACCCGGAGCGTGGCTGGGGGGCTAGAGTGGAGGGTGCCTCCCACCCAACCCTTGGTCCCTCTGCTCCTCACCAGCCCCCACCCCTCGGGGCATCGAGCCCCGGGAGTCTGTCTACTCCAGGGAACAGGAGACCAGGTGTCAGAAGGGACGCTGAGAGAGTGTCACCTCTGCGTGACCCGGACGCTCCTGGGGACCCGCCCGCCTGCCTGCAGTGCTCATCCTCCGGATCCTGGGGAGCTGCCCCCCTCCTGCCCGGCTCCCTTGAGCAGCCATGCTGCAAAGGGGAAAGAACCCCTCCCTGAGGCCACTTTCCCTTTGAGGAGCCCCCGGTGGGGGCTGGGCGGGAGCCGCCTTTGCGGCAGGGCCCTGTCCGGTCCTGCTTTCTCTCTGACTCTGGCTGAGCCGCCTGCCTGCAGAGACACCCGCGTCTGTCATCTCTGCAACAGGCTGCCACTGCGTCTCCTCTGCGTTTCCTCTGACTCCCGGGGCCGTGGGCTTAGTCGACCTGGTGGTGCGTTTGGTCCAGAAAGAGGAGGAAGGGGAAAGCCCTCTGCTGGGCACAGGCGTCACTTATTCCTCTTTGACCCGCTTCCTCCCCCGCATCCTGCCTCAGGGGTGGCACCAGCTTAAGGAGGGGCTGGAGGTTTATCTGCTAATGTTGTTCAGTGCCTGTCCCTGCATTAGGTC